CCACGCGTGGCACAGAAGAGGAACTCGCGATGGTCCGCCAAGCTGAACAGGTGCGCGCGGGCGATGTGCACTTGACCAAGAAGTCCACGGCCCCGCGGCGTCACCCAGAACAGGGGCACGGACGACTCGTGCCGGAAGGACGGCGGGGGAGCCTGCAACGCCAACGTGCGTTGGTCGCGCTGGCCATCAGCCACCAGCCGGCATGGCTGCGACTGACGCTGGCCCATCGCGACTCCGCGGCGCCACGGCGGGGGGGCGCGAGCAGAACGAAAATTGCTTTGCCCAAAACAGCTGCCGCGGACAGAAGGCGCGCGTTCGTTTTTCCAAACCTAGGCTCTGCCTAGAAGGGTTCTAACTCGGTGTGCTTAAAAAGCCAGGCAGTGTAAAACGCACCCCCCCGGGCGGTTCCCCCGGCGCCCGCTCCGCGGCTCCCCCAGCGACGTGCTCTTGGCCTAGCGTTGCTTATAACATCATAGCATTTCATCTTAGCTTAGCTTAGCTTCATCTGAGCTCAGGTTCGCCTTAGCTTAGCGCACCTTTATCTTAGCTTCGCTGAGCTTTAGCAAAGCAGATCACACTATAGCATAGCAGAGCGTAGCGCAGCACAGCGCAGCGCAGCATATCATAGCAAAGCCCACAAGCACAACATAGCGCAGCACAGCACATCAACACACAACATAGCGCAACTCAGCACAACTCAGCATAGCACCGCGCAGCATATCATAGCATAACATCGCATAGCGCAGCTCAGCATCGCATAGCATATCATACCCTAGTTTAGCATAGCACAGCGCAACATAACATACCATATATTACCATATAGTAACACCGTGTTGCACATCATAGCATAGCGCATCATATGATATCATAGCATGACGTAGCGCAGCATAGCATGGCCTAACATTGCATAGCATAGCATAGCAACGAATGCTGCTTTCCTAGGGGCTCCATCTTCTAGGCAGGGTCGCACTGGGGTGCTCAATTATTGCGGGCATCAGTGGCAGGAGGGCCCGGCCCAGGGGAGAGAGGAGGAGGAAGAGGGGGGGGGGGGGGGAGGGGGGGGGATGGAGGAGGAGGAGCAGGAGGAGGAGGAAGAGGAGGAGGAGTGGGAGGGGCGGGAGGCGGCAGGGGGGGAGGGGAGGGGGAGGAGGAGGACGAGGAGGGGGAGGAGGAGGAGGAGGAGGAGGAGGAGGGGAGGAGGAGGAGGAGGAGGAGGAGGAGGAGGAGGAGGGGGGGGGGTGAGAAAAAGGAGGGGGAGGAGGGCCGGCGCGGACTACCGCCCATGTCTCGATTCGCCCTCCTCCGAGAACGCCGGCGCTCTCGTGCCTCTATCCCCCTGTATCCTTCTCCCCCTTCTTTTGCTTCGCCTGTCTGCTTCTTCTGCTTCGCCTGGCCCTTTGGAACCATCCAGCCCCGCTGGATTGATGAGGGCCCCGGGGCCCGAGCTTGCCTGGCAGGGGGGCAATGCTTCTTCTCCGCGCCCTTCTCCCTCGTCCTGATTCTGCCATCTCTTCTCGGTCCTCCCTCTGTCACCATCCATATCATCCGTATTATCCTCAATTTTATCCCCCCCCTCCCTCCTCCTTTTCGTCTCCTCCCCATCATCCTTCTCCTCAGTCTCCTCCTCGTGCTTTTCCCCCCCGCCCTGCGTTGCCCCTCGCGTCTCGCCACCCCCCCCCCCGCGCCCCGCGCCCGCGGCCTCCCCCTCGCCCCCCGCCCATGCGCCCCGACGACGCGGGGGCGACGAGGAGGAGGAGGGGGAAGAGGAGGAGAAGGAAGATTTGGAGGAGGGGTCGGTTGTTGTCGCCACCGTCATGTCAGCATGATGCCGAGAAGTTGCCGACGCAGCGCTTGCGGAGGAGGAGGGGGAAGAGGAGGAGAAGGAAGATTTGGAGGAGGGGTCGGTTGTTGTCGCCACCGTCATGTCAGCATGATGCCGAGAAGTTGCCGACGCAGCGCTTGCGCTTAGCAGCGGGGCGGGCGGCCGCCGCGGCGCGCCGAGGGCTGCCGCCGCCGGCGCCGGCCCCCGGCGGAAGACGGGAGGGCGTTTGCGCGAGTGGTGGAGGGCTGGGCACGAGGATGAGAGGGAGGCTAAGTAAGGAGAGAAGGAGGGTGAGTCAGATGAGAAGGATGAGGAGGAGGAGGAGGAACATGAGTGGGAGGAGGAGGAGAAGGGGAAGGAGAAGAAGACGGCAGGGAGGAGCTAATTAAGCAACAACTGTCGCCTCACTTCTTCTTCGCCGAAACCCAAGGATCGCGCAGGGGCCAGCGGCCCCGGCTTTGGGCAAGATCCCGGCGAACAGACGCGCGAGCACTTTCGCCGACATCCCGCTGCCAACCTTCCGAGCAGGGATGGGAAATATATGATGATAGGAGGGGGGGTTGAAGGCGGGGTGGAGGAGGAGGGGGAGGAGGGGGGCGAGGAGGAGGAGGAGGAGGGGGGGGGGGAGAAGGAGGGGGGGAGAAGGAGAGGATGAGGAGGAGGGGGAGGAGAAGGAGGGGGGGGGGGGATGAGAAAGAGAGGAGGCGCACCATCGGTCCAATCTGGCTGTCGGACACGCCCTTGCACTTGAAGCTGCCCGGGGTGAGACCGCGGGTTTCCGGTGGAGCGAGGTGACCCAAAACGCGAACTGGCATCCACGACTCTTCGCGATGCACGGGAATCATTCAAGCCCTCGAGGGCGCGGCGGGAGCCCCCGCGAAAACGCGGCCCCGGATGGCTCCAAGCGCGCCTCTGAAACCGCCCGAGACGGCCCCCAATGGCTCCAAGATGATTATCCCCATTTTTTGATGATCGCCTCCTCCCTCTTTTCATTATCGTGTTCATCCTTGCCTGTTGCTTCGGATCACCACCCCTCATCCCCCCCTGGTGGTCGTGCTACTTTGAGAAGCCAAACGCCCCCCCTCCCTCCACCATTTTCCACCATTTTACTAGTCGCCTGGGCAGCGCGTCTAGACCCGCAGGTGGGGATTACGCGAAGCGTCAGCTATTTCTCCTTCATCATGTGCATCGTCGAGTTACCGAGGTTGACCACGCACGGCGATCTGCGTGGGTTGTCACCCTTGGCAACGATCGACGCGATCGCATCCTTGAGATTACGCTGGGCCGTCTGACCACTCGGGATATCCAAGGTCTGGCCACGAACTTTGGTGTCCAGCAGTGTCTTGAAAGGAATCGTATCAATGGGCTCGGGGCAGGGGTCGTACGAACCATCGTCCTGCACCAAGTCCGAACGCAAACCTATCAGATACATCCGCTTCCGGCTGTGGGGGATCCCATGCTCGCTAGTATGCAACATTTTCAAGTCTGGCTTGTATTGGCATGTGCGTTTGTTAGAGGCGGCCATCTTCATCAAAAACGGGCGAAACTTGTCATTCTCCATCAGCGCTGGAACATTTTCAAGTGCGAATATCTTGGGCGCGCGCGCGGTCATGTACTTGGCGCAATTACTCCCATATGCCCCCCCCCCCCCCCCCCCCCCCCCCCCCACTCCCCTCCCCCCCCCCCCTCCACTCGCCCTCTCCTTCTTGCTTGCCGCAGAGGACAGGGCTTAGGCTAGGGAAGCAGCGAACGTAGAGATCAGTGTTCAGGTCGGACATGGGGAACTTTCGACGTCATCACGCAAGCGTTCGCAATGCGTTGGTTGGCGGATTCACATGCCTGGCATCGGCGGGCGCATTCCATTCCTGAAGGTGAGAAGGCCTTGCCTTTTTTTTTTTTTTGTAACTCATTCAACTTCAACCCGAGAGCCTTCAAGGCAAAGTGCGGGCCCCAATCCCCGCGAAAGCGGTTCCGAGGGACATCGTGGGGGCCTTCTTGGGGAATGGGGGAAACGTTATGCCCCCTCCTCCTCCTCGTTGCTCCTCCCCCCACATTATCCTCCTTCTCTCCATCACTCCCCCCCCTCCTCATCCCTGCCCCCCTTTCCATCCCACCCCCCCCCCCCCCAACCCCCCCTCCCCCCCCCCACCCTCAGCCCCCCCCCCCCCCCCCCCCCCCATCTTGTCCACGCCCCCTTCCCGCCCCCCTTCGTCTTTGCCGTCCTCCACGAGGAGGGGCCGCATAAAGGGGGGAGGGGGGGGGGCGCGGGGGGGGCAGGAGGAGGGGGGGGAGGCGGGAGGAAATGCCAGGAAAGGAGGGGGAGAAGGAGGATCATCAGCGGGCCGCCTCTCCTCTCCCTCCTCATTCCATCCGTGGCCCTCCTTTGCTGGCCACTTCCGGGCGCGCCCCTTTTTCGCCAGGGCCGCGGCTGCAGGGGCTGCCGCGCCCTTGCCCGCGGCGGTGGATGGGCCGGCAGCGGCGGCGGCAGGGCCAGGGCCGAGCGGGCGCCAGGGGCAACGGCAACTCCGTAGAGCAGTGACGGTGGTGACGAGAGCGATCACGATGACGATGCTGATGATGATTACGATGACGATGCTGATGATGATGATGGTGATGAGAGTGATGATGATGACGATGATGATGATCATGATCGTGGCGGTTGCTTGGGCGGCAGTTGAAATTATCATTATCCCCCCCCATCTTCCCTGGGCGATCTCTGTCCACGGGCCCTTGGATCTGACATGATTTCCTGGATCTCCTTGATCTGCCCGCGGTTTCCTAGATCGACTGACCTCTGACCACCGCTCGCGGTTGACTCGCCGCGAGGGGCGTCGGCCAGTGCTTCTCGCGCCCGCAGCCTAGCCGGGCAGCGCGCGGCATTGCGCATGGCCGAGCAGGAGGAGGGAGGGGGATGGGGGGGGGGGCGGGGGGAGGAAGGAGGAGGCAAGGCCCGGCGGCGCGAGGGGGGAGGGATCAGGAGGGGGCCAGACGGCCGCGCACCTACTAAGCAGAAAACGACCGCTCAATATCATCAGCTCGTCGTGGCGCGCGCGTGCGCGTGCGTGGAATATTGAGTGAATGCGATTGCCTGTGATTGATATCGAGCAGTCCCCAGGGCCGCCGTGACCTGGTGGTAGCCGGCTTTGGCTGCCGTCGCTGGCCCCCCCACTCACTCCTCCGCGCCGTCGCTCATGGAGTCCTCCTCCTCGAGGTCCTCGTCCTCCTGGCCGTCGGCGCCCTTCAGGTTGTCGAGCATGTCCATCAGAGCAGCCTTGGACCCAGCAGCAGAGGCCTTTGCCCCCTTCTTGGCCTTCTTCTTGGGCGAGCCTGCTGCTGGATCCGTCTTGCCACCGTCGGCAGCCCTCTTCTTGCCCCCCCCTCAGTTTCTTCGCCGGCTGCTCGCCCTCCCACGACTGGCATTCGCCCTCGGTGTTCTTGTTCTCGGAGGTGTTCTTATTGGGCTTGGGCTTCGGGGCAGCAAAAGGCCTCGCAGCAGTCGATGCGACCTTGGCCAAGGCCCGGTCGTACAGGGGGTTGTTCTCGTCGATGAAGCCGTTGAAGATCTCCGAGGATATCTGATCGTAGAGGTTGCTGGCGCGCAGCTCGGCGAAGCAAATCCCGACGCGTTGCTTGCGGGCCCGCGCGTGCGCCTTGGCCGCGTTCCCCACGCCCGCGTTGCAGTCAATGGTGGCGCGCGCTGGGAGATCCTCGAGCAGCGTCGCGTAGTATTGCACCGGCGTCACATGGTAGAGCACAGCCCCTTTGCCCGCGGCGTCGCGCGGCAGAGGGCCCGCCCCCTCACAGGGGCCGCCCACTTCAATGCGGTGGCCACTCAACATCTGGCGCTTCGCGGAAGCTTCCTCGCGCCACGTGGAAGCCCACGTCTGGGGCGTCATCGGGCCGATGCTGTCGCCTCGGTTGGTCCTGCTCAGCCCGTTGAAGTGGTTCCTCCTGCGCTCGGGGATCTCGAGCGGGCCCTGCGCCCAAATGCTCGCCGTCTCCAACTGCGAGAAGCTGCCGCGCACTAAGTTGAGCAGGTCCCTGGAGCACTCCTCCGAGTTGATGATGTTGAGGCGGCGCGTCTCCTTGCGCATCTGGCGGGGCTTCGCGCCCGTCTCGTCCACGAGCGCGTTCGCAGCGTGGCCCTCGCTGCCTGCGCGGGGCGCGCAAACAGGAGATGATGCACGAGGAGGGCGGGGCAAATGGGGGGGGGCGACGCGATTGGGGGAGGGGGTGGGGAGAAGAGGGGAGATGAGGAGCAGGGGGGAGAGAGAAGGAGCAGCGAGGAGAGGAGGGGCGAGATGGATGACGAAAGAAAGATGGCAAAGAAGAGGGGGGGCAAGGAGAGAGGGCGAAGAAGGACATTGAAGACGAGAAGAAAAAGCGAGGACGACAGAGGAGAGGCATGGGGTAGGAGGAAGGCCTCTCTTGAAGCCATCGTGCCACATGAACGCCATGCCCTGAGGGATCTCCGTGGGCCCGGCCCCCCGCGCCCGCAGGATTGCCGTGGGCAGCTTCTTCGCCCGGGCCACCGAGGACGGCGCGATCCTCGGGGGCCGGCCGCGGCAGGGGGGGCGACGACGCAGACAGAAGACGGCGACGACAATGGCAACCCAGAAGAGGCACGGGGTCTCCCCCCCGAGGAGAAGGACCAGGAGGAGGAAGGAGGGAAAGGATGATGAGGAGGGCAGGAAATGACCAGGAGGAGTAGGAGGAGATGGATCGGATGGGGGGAGAGGGGGGGGGCAAGGGGAGGAGGAGGAGGATGCAGAGGAGCAAGAGGAGAGCGGCGGCGGGCCAGCTCAGCTCGATCCGCCGTCGCCCCCATCTCAGGCTTCCCCCAGCCAGCGGCATCTCACCTCCTCATTTCCCCCTTCTCCGTCTCCTTCTTCTCCCTCCTCATTCTCCTCGTCGTCATCCTTCTCCTGCCTGCCATCCTCCTTTTTCTTCAAATCTGCCTTTCCGTCTTCGTTCGTTGGCACAGAGCTCCTGACGTGGGGGTTTGACGTCGCCTCGCCAGCGAGCTTGACGTCGTCCAGCACCAGGATGCACTCGCCAGCCTTGCGACGTTGGCAGGGCGAAAACGTCGCAGTTTCCATGACAGGCCCTGGTGTTCAGAGGTTTGGGATCCAAGGTAAACGTGGGGCCCCTGGATCCGAAATATAAATGTCGGGAACATTTGGATTGCCGCCTCCTCATTATTCTCCCCATCATCCCCCTCTCCTTGTCCTTCTTCTACCTCTTCTCCTCCTTCTCCTCAGTCCCCTCCGCCTCGTCATTCCCCCCGTCTCATGATTTCCCCCATCGTCCGCCTGCTCCTCCTCCTCATCCCCCCTCTACTTCTCCCACCACTCCCCCCCTCCTCCCCCCCCCTCACCACCCGCCAGCAACACCTCGCGAGTTCCGCGCAGTCTGGCCACTGCGGTCTCGGACAACGCCTGGTACATCGCCTCCTCGGACTTCGCCTCCACGATGAGCGTGACGAAGGTCCGAGTCAGCCGCCACGCCTCGTCTTGCTTCTTGGCGACGCGATCCACGTCGTCGGACGAGAGGCTCGTCCCAACCCGGCCCAGCGCCTCGGCGTCGAGCCCCGTCGACCTCAAGATGACGATCGCCTTGTCGATGGGGTCCTCCTCCCCGGGCTCGGCCGCGTCCGCCTTGGCCTTCTCGATGGCCGCCGCGTCAACAATCTTGGTCGTTTGCGCCTCCCTCTCCGCGTCGTTCAACTTCTGGATCTCTACCTCCACGGCGTCGTCCACAACCTGGAACGCGCCCTTCAGACTGCCGTGGTTGGCCGCGTCCTCGGGGGTTTTGCGCTTCCGCATGGCGTCCGCCAAGCTCTCGGAATGGGCATCGCTGTACACGGCGTCCTGGTGCATGGAAGAAAAAATCACGGGGGCATGGGCGGATGAGGATGCGGAGGAGCAGGACACGGGGGCAACGCGAGGAGGAGGAGGGAGGGGGAGGAGAGGAGGATGAGGAGAAGAGGAAGGAGGAGGAAAAGGAGGATGACATGATGAGGAGGTGGAAGAGCATAGAAATGCATGAGATGGGATGAGGAGGTAGGATGAGGAGGAATGACAATAAGAAGATGATGAGGGTGACCCATGAGGATACGAAGACGACAACAGAGAGAGAGATAGAGAGAGAGATAAGGGGGGTTGTGGTCATTGTCGCCGCCGTCGTCGGCGGTCCTCGAAGAGCTCCAGCGCCGCGAGGGCGGGCTTGCCGAGCTCGGCCTGCCAAGTGATATCGACGTGAGAATTGTCCATGGACCGGCACCCGCACTTCTCGCGCATCGTGGCGAAGTCACGCGTCACGTCGCGGATGATGTCCTTCTCGGCGTTGGTGATGGCCTTCAGCCTGCGGGGGACAGTTAGTTGAGAGGGGAGGAGTTGTTGGAGGAGGAGGTGAGTGGACGAGTGGAGGGGGAGTTGGGGAGAGGAGGGGGAGGAGGAGAAGCAGGAGGAGGAGGAGGAGGAGGGGAGACTTCCGAATGGATTTCGGCTCAGCCTCGTGAGCCACTCCTGGCGCATCCACTGCTTCACGCCCCTCTTGAACAGCACCTCGTCGATGACGCCCTTGCCCATCTGCCCGGCCCCATAGCCCTGCAGCTCGCGCAGGGGGAGGGTGACGATCATTTTGTGGATGAAGGCGTCGGCCAGGGCTAAGAACACGTACTCGATGTTCTCCTCGGTCTTGGCCTTGGAGATGATGGTCTGGAGCTTGGTGATCGAATCGAAGAGCGACCGGTGAGAATGGGACTCGTCCAGCTGGCGAACTGCGTGCAAGACGCTCGGAACGCTGAGCGCCCTGCTCCAGACGGTGAGCGCGGAGTCCACGAAAGAAAATGTAATCTCCTCCTGGCTATCAGCGCGCTTCGACTTCGTATTGTGCAACTCCACGAATTCGCCAGCGCTGATTTCCTTGCCATTGGATTGCTCCAGCTGCGCCTTCAGGTTGGCGATATCGCACACCTCCTGGAACGCTGCCCTGGCCAATGAATCGTGCTCCTGGACGATCGTGTTCCTGAGCGTCTTGGCCTTGAAAAAAATAAAATCATCATCGTAGGCGGTGAACTTCATGGTCACTGTCAGGAACAGTGTCTTCCAGGCGGCGAGGACATCGTCGGACTTTCCGGCGCGGATGTCTCTGGCGCACGCCCAGTAGGCCGCGTGGACAGCCTCCTCTGGGGAGATCAAGCCGTAGGTGCCCAGGTCTTTCTTGTCCACCTTGCCGCCAGAGACGTTCACAATTATGATCCCCTCGTAGTACCCGGGGGCCTCGCCATCCGGGTAGAGGAACTCCGCCAGGGCCTCGGTCGTCCGATGCCGGCAGGGGACCCCCTTTGCAGCTACATTCAAGCAGTCGGCCCAGAAGATGTTGGCGCCGCACTGGTACTGCTTCGCAGTGGCCATCGCGGCGTCGCACAAGGCCTGGTCAAAGGCGACCTGAAAACCAACCCCGCCCCCGTCCGGCACCTCGCGGTTGATGGGCAAGGGGTCCAAAGATTGGATGTTGGCGAACACCGGGTGGTCCGTGATCGTCTTCACGAGCTCCTGAATGTTCGCATTGTAGTCGGCGTTCATCGTCTTCTTCTGGATCTCGGCCGGCTCCAGAGGGGCCACGATGACATCAGGATCAGCTGCCGCCGCCCCGCCGCCGCGGCCCCTGCCACCGCGCCCACCGCGGCCCCTGCCAGCAGCCGTGATCTTCTTGACAGCAGCACCGCGGCCTCCCTTGGGCGCCATGGATGCAGCGCGAGGTGGCGTGAGTGAATTTATTCCGTGAGCTGGGTGCTGCGAGCTCGCAGCGATTCTTGTCGCGATTGACTGAGCTCGGTGGAGCCGAGTCAAGCTGCCAAAGAAAGAAAGAGGATGACGACCGCCAACATGGGAGGAGGATGGATAAACATATGAGACGGAAGAAGGGGGCGAGGTTGAAGGCGGGGAGGGGGGGGCAGAGGGGGAAAGACACGCAGGGCGAGAAGAGAGAAGAGAGGCAAACAGAGAGACAGAGGCAGAGACAAAATAAGAAAGGGGAGGAAGGAGAGGGACAAGGAGAAGGAAGAGACGCACTGCTTAAGGTCCCAGTGGCAGCCGCACTCTCCAGGAACCGGGACGACCCTCTTGTTGAGAGCGACCTCGGCATTCGGAGTCTGGCTCAACAAACCCTTGCGCAAGGGTCTGTTGAGGGAATGTCGGAATCAAGCTGTTAGGAGCAGGCGCCCACGTTGAGGGCGCGCGCCAGTATAGGTCTCTATCTCAACATAGCCCCTCCTGAGCAGCAGAGCCAAAACGCACTTACTCTCAACAGACCCTTGCGCAAGGGTATGTTGAGAGAGAGCCGACATTCCAGACTCTGTCTCAACAGTCTGGACCCTGTTGGCCCTGTAGGGTGCGCGCGCCCAGCGCTCAGCGGGGGGCTCTCAACAGACCCTTGCGCGAGGGTCTGTTGAGAGACCCCCTCGCTACCGCCCATTTCCCTCGCTATCGCTGCGTAACATGTGCCCCTCGCTATCGCTATCGCCCCGTGCTATCGCTATCGCCCCTCGCTATCGCCATCGCCCCTCGCCATCGTCGCTACCTTCAGCATCCACCATCGCGTCGTCGTGCTCATCGTCGCGCCCCGTCAGCTGCGCCACCCCCCCCCTCGCGCGCCCTCTTCTCAACGGGCCCTCGCGCAAGGTTCTGTTGAGTGCCTGCCCCAATCCAACGGCGTTTCTCAGCAAGGGGGGCGCTAGCGACGCGCGGCGGCGGGCGCGGCGAGCTGCGATGGCGATAGCGAGGCGCGATGGCGATAGCGAGGTCAGGCATCGGCAGCGATGGGCAGCAGCGACGATCGCGAGGCAGCTCTCAACAGACCCTTGCGCAAGGGTCTGTTGAGGGCCTGCCCTGATTCAGACGCGCCCCTCAACAGGGGTGGCGATAGCGATGGCGAGGGGCGATAGCGAGGCGTGATAGCGATGGCGAGGGGCGATAGCGATAGCGAGGGGCGATAGCGATAGCCATGCCAGCGGCGATAGCAGGGGCGATAGCGATGGCGAGGGGCGATAGCGATAGCGAGGGCGATAGCGATAGCGAGGGGCGATATCGATGACGGGAGGCAATAGCGAAAGCGAGGGGCGATAGCGATAGCGAGGGGGGGGGGGGC